GTAAGCCCAGCAAGCCACTAAGGAAAGAGAAAATCCAGATTAGCCTCAGCGCTCTCCACAGCAGCATCAACACTAGAAAAAAGGAAAGTATCACCTACAGAATCCTCACACAGAAAAAGAATGATCCTCACATTGATGCCCAGCATGTTGTTCAGCACAGAAAGAGCAACTGTGCAGCAGTGAAACTGCAGCAACCCTGGAGTCATTCTTCCCCTGAACTGTTCTAGAGGGACTCTCTAAATAAAAACCTTTAACTGACCAGGGAAATAACTAATCAAGGAAAGGACTGTGAAAATTACATTAATTTAGTCATGGAAATAAAATTATAACAAAAACAACAACTGGAGTGACACATCAGAATGAAGACTGCAGAAGACCAGCTCCAGCAAAATGTTGTCAGGGGTTCCTGAAAGGATGAGACGACATCAGCGAAACTGAGGGCTGAGGGGAGGAGGAGTGAGGCAGACACAGACACTCAATCTGGTGCAAGCATCTCCTGCTGAGGGTCTCAGCGGGTCTTTATGCATTAAGGCAAGCAGTGGGATTACATCATCATATGCATAGAAGCAAAACAGAAACAATCAGTACATTCCTTTCCCTATGTGTTTGGCGCCTACGTGTTTTGAGAAAAGAGGTGACCTTTAAAGTTAATAGATGATAAAAACTTATACTCATAATTTCAGCCTAAACAATTACCTAAGACAGCTAATAGTCCTTGGTACACACCTATCTGCCAAGGTACTGTATCAAGACACTCCTCTGTCCCGACCCGCGGGATTCGCAGGCACGAAAAGAGAAGGGCTGAGGATTGAAATGAGGGGCTTGAGACAACTTGACGCTAGCGTTTGCTTCTTTATTTTTCCTTTACCTTTCTTTTACTTTTCCCTGTCTTTCTACCTTCCCTGACCTTCTTCTCTCTGCTCCTCTGGCGGTAACCTCTCGCAATAACCTCTCTCACAATGACCTCCTGACCTTCTCATGGTTCTCTTCTTATATCCAGGTAGCTCCTCCCATCGTACCTCCCAGTCTCATTTGATTAATATGAAACACCTGTGGTTTCTCAGCAGGCAAAATGGTAAAGCAAAACTTAATTAATGGCACGTGTGTTGCGCAACACGGCGCATGCTCCAGGCGGCTCCGGACACTCTATCTATATGGCCTGCATCTAGACACCAGTAGACCAGTTGCTTCCTGGTTATCAGTTATCAGAACTTTTTCTACCTAGAAACTCCTAGTGTAATCAACTTCATGAATCATTAAAAGGGTTCTTTACAGAACTTCCATGAAATGAAATGTGTGGCCAGTTCTGGGTTGCTTATCAGGCGTGCTCTTGTACAACAACTATTTCCCATTGTCAAGTGGGCCAAATTGTTCAGTGTTTAATTTTTAAGCAAGTAATTCTCCATGCCATGTACTTGCAATATTCTTATATGTATAATTTATTGCTCAATGTATTTTCCAAGAAGTTTTTTCTTGTTATGACCAAGAACAAAAAACAAAGGGATGTTTATTCTTCAGCCCCACAGTATGAGGCACAAGGAATCTTTAGCCCCAAGGTGTGAGGTTCTTTAAAAGTCTTCGGCCCCATGGTGCGAGGCCCTTTTCTTCAGCCCCATGGTGTGAGGCCCTTTTCTTAGCTGCTTGCCAGCTTCTTATCTGGCTGGGGCAGCAAGACCCCCTGCAGCAGAAGATGTCACAAAAATCTGACACCTAAAATAATTACACAACTAGCAAAAAATTAAAGGAAGGAAAAAAGGTGGGAGGTAATGTTTGTGCTTTTATCCTCATGTTTCATTGTGTGTGGGAAATATAAGGATATTCAAAACTGATAAATATACTAATCTGTATATGAGTTTTTGACAATAGAGATTGTTATAAATTAAAATCAGAGAGAAGATCAAAAGAAGATCAAAGTGGAAGAAGGAATATATTTCATGTTATTAAAGCTAATTGTTGGCAATTAACAAGAACTATTCAAAAAATAGATAATTAATGGTATTATATAAAGTCATGCTTAAGAAGGTAAGTCAGTGAAATTAAAATGCAATTCTTTCTTATAAATAAAGAAAATTATACAATGGAAAAATCTACATGGAAATAATTTTAAACAGAAAACAAAAAATGAGAGAGAGTAAGCTAAACATATCTTGCATTTCGATACATGAAAATAGGTTGAAATAATATATCAAAATGAAAGCATAGCTTTATTCTATCACAAGAGACATAGATAAAATTAGTGATTAAAATATGTACATAGAAGTACGAAATGGAGTTTTAAGCTAGCATATGTAAACAAAGAGAGCAAGTAACTTATCTTAACATGAGCTAAAACTTAATTCATGCAAAAAGTCATTGATGAAGACAAAGAAAGACACTTTAAAATGCTAAGGGACAAGGTACATAATTTTATATTCTTGGAATAATATAGTAACTATAAAAGTAAAATGAAAACTACTAGATATTTAATGAGAACTAGATACTTGCAAGCATCTTTAATTTGCATTTACTACATAAGACAAAGAACATTTAATATAATATTTAATATGGAATACTTAATATATTAAAATAAATACTCTTTACAGAAGGAATACATTTTTTCATATGCCTGTAAGATGCTCACAAAATATGAAAATATATTAGATCAAAAAGAAAGCTTAAATCAATTCTAAAATTCAGAAGTTCTGTTATTATCTAATGTAATGAAACTGGAATTTAATAGCACAACAAGAAAACAAAAAGTCCTCACAAAAAATAATAACAATACCAATTGCATGTATCAACATTGGGGATACTTTTTACACAGGTTTCAGAGAAAAATACACACAATTAATTTTAAGGAAGAAAGAAAGCACAAACATAAACATGAAATGAAAGGGAAAATAATCCAGTGGTAGTATAAAAGTTATGACTCCTCTGTGCTTAGCTTCTCAATTTATTTGAATGCTGGAAGGAAATGGCAATTTTCTAACAAAGTATGATTTACCAAAACTGACTCCAATAAGAGATAGCAAATTTAAACAAAAGAGAACTATATAAGATATTTAGAATTTTGGTAAGGCTACCCCATAAAATGAATAGTGAAGAATAAAGTGAAGAGTCCTGCTAAATTTTTGAGGAACTGATAATTCCAAAAATTTATAGTCTATTTCAGGCCAAAGAAAAACAAAAAAAAAAAATATTTCTTCAAAGTTATTGAAAGTGTTTTGAAGAAACAAGTATAATATCAATATCAAAATGTGACAATGATGAATTGTAAACTATACATTAATCTTACTTAAACATGGCAATTTCAAAAGCCTAAAATAGGTAAGAATAAATAAAACAATGATTATAGAGTGGTTTATTTCAGTAAAGCAAAGATGTTTAATATCAGGAAAAGCTACTTTATTATTTCAAAAGATGTCATGAAGACACATCAAAAAATTCAAATTTTGTTCTTTTTAATACCATTAAAATACTGCATTAACCCATTATTTCCAGATATATGTTAAGTATATACATATATGTGATATATATATACACATCTCTACACATAACATCTATGCTAAAGTAAGCAATATATATGACTCTATATTGTGCTTCATATGGAAAATCTAGAAGCTTTCCCATTAAAGTTGTAGAGTTGTAAGAGCTTATTTATTTTTAATGTAATTTATTATTGATGTTGTATTACTCTAAAATACTCAGAAAAGTGAGTACAAATGTACAAATGTGGAATGGAAATGTACTACATTTAATTTTATAATTTAATTTACATGGGCAAGTGTATAAATTCTTGTGTGGTCTTTGAAATCCAAAAGATCATCCAGAATGTTTTAGTAGTAATAAGAATGTACTATTCAAGTATTTGGGAATAATTAATATACAAGGATAAAAAAGTAATAGGTAATATATAAAAATTAATACAATGACCATATATATTCCTATATAGCATACATATACTATATATGAAGAAAAATTTTAGATTTATATAAAATATTCCTTTAATAATATCATAATACAAAGTAAGATATCTAGTAAAACAATGAAATGATCTAGTTTAACAAATATTTGACATACTTCTAAGGGATCAAAAGACCATTTGAACTGACTGGAAATGTAACCATTGTTCTTAGACAAGAATAGTCAACATCAAAAATATTGAAATTCTCTTTAATTTACAAAATGGAGTGAAAGCCCAGTATTAGTATCATAGTTATTTTAAGTAGTCAAAGTTGATATGAAAATAACAAGTTTTAAAGTAAAAGAGTAATAAGAGGCTAAGTAAGCAGATGTACAATATGATAAAGCTGCAATAATGAAAACAGTGGAAGATAGATAGGCAGGTAAAGGGAATAAAAATAAATACAGAAATAGACTGAAATATATAAGTTACATGTGATTGAAGGGCATCTTAAAGCAGCAGGCAAAAAAGATAAATTATTTAATGAATGGCAACAGAAAAATAAAATATGTTGTATCCATATGTCATAATTCCAAATAAACTCCAAGTATATCAATTATTTAAATGTGAGAGTTAAATGACTAAAAAAAATTAAGAGTAGAATGGAGGAGTTGGGAATGAGAGAAGAAGGGGGGGGAGAGAGAGAGAGAGAGAGAGAGAGAGAGAGAATGAGAATGAGAATGAGAATGGAGGCTTTTATAACCATGAAACAAAGACCAGAAGGAAAATGGCAATGAATACATTTAACAACACACAATTAAAACTTTGGCCCTGTACACATATACACCATATGAAATCAAAAGTCACGTAATTATTTGGGAGCAATTGAGATATACCATCAATATCATAGAAATAGCTTGTTGCGCTAGCATAGCAAGTGTTCTTCGCAGACAAACAACAACAAACCAGCATTGGGTAGGAAAAGAGGCCCAGCAGCTCAGAGACAGAAGGGCACGTGGGTGCTGTGTCAGGAAAGGACGCGCTCTCACAGATGGAGGTGCCAGGGAGCCAATGTTTCACCGAATGGCTCCGTAGTTTCTAGAGTGATGCCACCTACCTTGTCAATGATGCATGAAAACAGATGGCCCCATGCAGCTCTGATGGGAGTTTTCACTGGTACAGATGCTATGAAAAATGATTTGGAAATAAATTTCAAAATTAAAGATTCAGGCATCCTTTGATTCAGCAACTCCACCTCTAGAACAGAGACAAAATATTGGAAACAAATTAGATGTATCTCAGAAGTAGATTGGTTAAATAAATTATGGCACATACTATCAAGGGAATGCTGCTAATCTCAAAAAAGAATGAGGAAATTATGTATTCATATGAAATAATTTTCAGGATATACTGCTAAGCCAATGAAACAAGGTATAGAAAAATGCTTTAGTAATCAACCTATCATTTGTATATAAGCAGAGAGCAGAGAATATAGTGTATGTGTGAATGCTTATCTTATTATCTTATCTTATTTCTTTCACAGCCATAAAATATAAGAAAGGTAAATCAGAAATGAGATGACTCAGGACAAAGAATGAGTGAGATTTTAAAAGATCTGTTTTAGTCCCAGTCATGAGTGCATTACCAATTGACTATGTATATATATATATATATATATATATATATATATATAGAATTAAGATACAAAAAAAAAAACAATAAAAGTAATTAATACCTAGAAGATACAAGGAAATCTGCAACTCAGTAAGATGGTGATAGAGAAACCAACAGAAAGATAGATTAAATCTATCAAACAATTTCTTTCATATGTGTTGACTGAAGGCCTTGATGGACACGAAAAAAGATAAACATTTCCATAATTAGAGAAACACTGAGAAAAATGAAGGATGAGGTGCAGGGGTCCTCCCTCTGAGTGAGTGGGGCAGATACACCAGAACCTGGGACACTGCAGAGCTAGCCCAAGTCCTCAAAACACTGAACTCCTTGTCTCCCTGACTTTTATGCCAACTTCCCAAGAGTTTGGTTGGATCCTTTGTTTTGGTTTCTAATTTGCTTCTTTTTGAAATCAAATTTTAGGGCCTCCTTTGTGGCACAGGGGTTAAAGTCTCAGTACTATGAAGTTATCTGCAGCCACTGCAGCACAAGTTCGATCCCCGGCCAGGGAGGTGACCCACATGGTGCAGCAGATCTCTCCTGTCTCACCTGATGCTCCCCTCAGCAGTGTATCCCAGTGGATCCGCCTGTTTTGCTCCCCACTCTGTGTCTCTGATGAATCCTCACATCGCCCCCCCCACCTCTGGCCTATATTCCGGTTCATGTATGCATAAATAAATAAATAAATCTTTTAAAAAGTAAAATAAAATTAATTGATTTATTATTTACATTTATAGAACTGCATAATTTGGGGAGTACAAATTTACACCTCAGCACATGTTTCACTCACCCTCCACAAAGCTTCAGTCCAGTGACCAACATGTAGTAGTATGGAGTGTGAGACTCAGTTTTGCTTAATAAATTTTTAATCCAGTTGTCCTCAAATGTAACATATTAACATGACCTGGAAACATTTCTTTTTTTTTTTTATTTTTAATCTGAAAATGAGGTGAAATTATTCACAGTTTTGAGGAGAGGATGAATTTCAGGCAAGTGTGGAAACTACTGGCATAATCTCCAGGGGGCAAAAAAGTCTCTCCTGTTTCCTGTTCATAGCACAGGCATCAAGTAAAGTGAAAGGCTCCCATTATGGGATGTTTGTTCTTCAACTGGATGTGTGATAAGCCCTTTTCTCTCTGGTCTCCTCATGACAAATAGTAGCAGAGCTTGCCAGTTCAACTCCTAAAACTGATCCCACCCAATAGAAAAATGAATACAGTCACATAGATAGATTACATAAATAGAAAATCACAGTAATAGGATATTTCCACAGGACTGGGGAATAGTTTTGCTGTTATGGTTGCTGTTGCATTGGGGTTTTTGATTTTATTTTGATTTTTACTGGTCTTTTCCTTTATGAGGAAGTTGAATGTCAGCTCTGTTTTATCTCTTACCTTGAAGAAGGGGAGTATAACTTCTTTCTTTTTTTAAAAAAAGATTTATTTATTTATGCATACAAGAACTGGGGTTCAGGCCAGAGATGCGGTGGGTGACAGGAACAGCCAGACAGAGTGGGGAACAGAACAGCCAGATTGAGTGAAATACACTGCTGAGGGGAGCAGCAGGCGAGACAGGAGAGGTCTGCTGTACCATATGGTTGCTCCCTGGCTGGCTGGGGATTGAACTTGTGCTGCAGAGGCTGTGGATTGCTTCACAGTGTGGTGCTTAACCCTTGTGCCACCAGGGAGTTTCCAGGGAGTATAATTTCTGAGAATGGCAAGAACGTCCAATGTCCACAAAAATGTGACCTGCCCTGAATAGATTTTCATTATGAATGGACCATCCATCTCTTCTGTGTTGTCTCTTCTGACTGAGAAAGTGGGGTAAGAGCCAAAGGAAGCAACTCTTTGTTACTTGAGGTAACAGCAAATTCATGTAGAACTATTGGGGGCTAGGACAGATGAGGCTGTTATTTAACCAGTTGTTCTTCCTTCATCTCCTGGGGTCTAGGCTGAGCTCCATTCTTGGTCCTTGTGAACTGACAAGTGAGTGATGTGTCTGCCAGTCAGGATGGATAATCACCAAATGACAGGGATTGGCAACATGGTCTGATTGATGTGAACATTGGGGCTGGCTCCTTGGAATGACAATTTTGGAAAGATTTCACTCTGGCTTCAACTTGAAGATTTTCTTGGCTCATCTCAAGTGATGTGTTCTCATCTTAAATTTTTTTTCACCCCAAAGTTTTACCTCTTCTTGAGTCAGAATTTCAGGGCACTCAGACATTTTTTAGTCCAGACTAGATTAATTGTGGTTCTTTATTGTTCAATAAAACAAAACTAATTTTCTACATTTGTTAGGATATACAGTGGGCAGGAGAGATTGCACTGGAGACTAGAGGATCCCTAGACACATTCCAGTTAACTTTCACTTCGTGATGTTTTTATACAAATAATTAGTAGGGACTCTGATATAGGAATCAAGTATTTTATACCTTTCTGTATTTCCACATTGTTTATTTCATACACTCATATTAAGCAGATGGTTGACTTTAGCAGGGTATGGGGTTCAAAACAGATTGCTTTTTAAAAAATTATCTATGCATATATATTTTACGTCATTGCTCATTTTTTTACATTGTTTTCTTTCTTTTCTTAGGTGTAGCCCCCATAGAATTCCCACAACCAATTTACCTGTGCTCCATTACCGTGGTCCCTTGTGCTCTTCCCCCTCATTTTGATCCTTCTCCCTCCCCCTCCCTGTAGAATGTCTCTGATTTATAGTTGTCTGCTTATTTTTGTTTTGTTTTGTTGTGCTTTTTCATTGTTACTATTTTTTTCCCTGATCCCTTATTTGGTTTCCCTTATATTCCTACTATAAGTAAAACCATCTGATATTTTTCTTTTTCCTTCTGACATATTTCACTGAGCATAATCCCTTCTGGCTCCATCCATGTTGCTGCGAGTGGCATTAGCTTTATCTTTTGCTGCACAGACACTTTTTTTCAGTTGATGTAATCCCAGTTGTTTAACTTTCCTTCACTTTCTTTGCTTTGGGTGATGAGTGTTTAAAGATATTACTGAGATATATGTCTTGTAATGCTTTATCTATGTTTTCTTCTATATATTTTATGTTTTCAGGTCTTATTTTCAGTTCTTTTATCCATTTTGAGTTGATGGTGTGAGGTAGTGGTCTAGTTTCTTTCACATATGGTGGTCCAGTTTTCCCAGCACCATTTATTGAACAAACTGTCATTTTTCCATTGCATATTCTTTGTACTTTGTCAAAGATTAATTGTCCATATATGCATTGTTTTATTTCTGGGCTTTCTATTCAGTTCCATTGGTCTGTGTGTCTGGTTTTGTTTCAGTACCATACTGTTTTAATTATTATAGCTTCATCATACAGCTTGAAGTCTGGGAATGTGATACCTCCATTCTCCTTTGTTTTGGTCAGCAGAGCTGTGGCTATTAGTGGATTTTGTGGCTCCACATGAATTTTATCAATATTTGTTTTATTTCTTTGAAGAATGTCATTGAGATTTTTATTGGAATAGCATTGAATCTGTAAATTACTTTTGGTGGGGTGGCCATTTTGATAATGTTAATTCTTCCAACCTTGAGCAGGGGATGCCTACTTCTCTATTTTTGTCATATGCATGGTTTTATTTATTAAATTATCTTATTTAATTCACTTTTCATTCTTTTACTCTTTAAAAATTAAGCTATAATTTTTATGCAGCAAAACTCATTTTATCAAAATAATTGGAAAACATGTGCAATTTTATATCACCCACCTCAATTTAATACAGAACTGTCTCTTCACTTGGTAAAATATCCTGGTACATTTATAGCTATCCTGTCCCTAAACCCTAACCCCTGGTAACTACTATTACTTTCCCTATACAGTTTTTCTATGTAATACTTATATATTATACTGTATGTCATATAAATGGAATTATGAGTGTAATGTTTTGAGACCTTTTTTTTCCACTTAGAATAATAAATTTGGGATTCATACATGTTGACATCAATCAGAAGTTCATTCATTTTTATTGCTGAGTGGTGTGCCGTGTAAAGTAAATAAATTCACCAGTTGAAAGACCCACAAATTGTTTCCAATTTTTTGGCAACTATGATTAAAGCAACTACCATCACTTATGCACAGGTTCTATTTGAACACATGTTTTTAATTATTTTGGGTGAACAATGCAAAGAAGTTTTCAGAGATGGTATGGGACATGTGTGTTGAACTATATGAGTTCACAAAGTGATTATAACGTTTTGAATTTCCAAAAGCAATGCATCTAGGATTCCAGTAACTCTGTTAAAGGGTTTTGTTCATTTATTTGGTTTTGATATTTTGCCATTCTAATCAGATTGTAGTGGTCATTATAATTTTGACTTGCATTTACTAATTATTAATGATATCAAACATCTTTTCATGTGCTTTTGTTCTGACCAAATGTATATCTTCTATGATGAAGCGTCTATTTAGTTTGTTATTTTCTAATTGGATTTTTTCTTTTCATCTTTTCTACCCTTTTAATGAAACATAATTTACATATAGAACTGTAAAAGTTTAAGCTACAGAGCATGATGACTTGACTTACATATATTGTGAATTGATCACCACAATATAGTTGGTTTCAACTGTCATCTCATTTAGATACAAGAAAAAGTATTTTTTAGCTTGTGATGAGAATTTTTAGAATCTACACTCTTAACAACTTTTAAATTTACAGTGCAGCAGTGTTTGCTATAATCATCATGTGATACATTATATGCCTTGTACTTATTTAACTTTTAGCTGTAAGTTTGTATCTGTAGACAACTTTCATCCAATAAAAACATGGAATACTTCATGAATTTGCATGTCATCCATCCACAGAGCCATGGTAATCTCTCTTTTGTTCCAATTTTTAGTGTATGTGCTGCTGAAATGAACGCATTTCTCTTTTCCTTTCTTTTTCTTTTCTCTTTGAATTCTGAGTTCTTGAAATATTCTGGAAAAGCAACAGTTCCTTTCTCAAATATTTGTTTTGAAGATATTTCTTCTCAGTTGTAGCTTGTCTTTCAGTTTCTTAATTCATTTTTATAAAGTAGAAGCTTTAATATTTTCCAATTTTCTAAAGGTAATATTGGTTTAAAACATTGCATGTGATTTAGAAATATATCAATAGATTCACTCACTTCAGGTGTATGTTAACACACCACACCCATCACCAAGAGACCAACATTACTCCAATAAATCCCATTGTGTCTTCTCATCATTTTCCTCTCTTCCTCCTTCTCCCCTTTGGCAGTCTCAATTCTACAGTAAGATTTCTAGGCTTTGTCATTGGTTTGATTTTATCTGACACTTTGTGTTATTTTTTCCCTACATTCCTCATATCACTGTCATCATCTGATATTTGCCCTTCTCTTTCTGACTTAATTTGCTTAGGATAATTCCCTCCAGTTCCATTCATGTAGTAAATGACAAGAGTTTATCTTTTTTTATTGCTGGGTATTCCATTGTATATGTATACCACATCTTCCTAAGCCACTTTTCTTTGAGCACTTAGCTTGTTTCTATAGCTTGGTTATTGTAAAATATACTGCAATAATCATAGGAATGCAGATATACCTTTGAACCAAAATTTTTGCATTCTTTTGGTATATAGCTAGAAGTGGAATTGTTGAATAATAAGGTCAATCTATTTTTAATATTTTAGAAATCTCCATACTCTTTTCCATAAGTGTTGGGCCAGTTTACATTTCCAATAATGTATGAGGTGAGGGTTCATTTTTCTCCACAACCTTGCTGATGCTTGTTTCTGTTTTTTCTTTCTTTTTTTTTTTTTAAATGGGACATTCTCAGAGATGTGAGGTGGCGTTTGATTGTGGTTTTGATTTGCATTTCCCTCATGATAAGTGACGATGAGCATTTTTTCATTTGTTTCTTGGCCATTTACATGTTTGCTATGGAAAAACACCTGTTTAGTCCTTCTGCCTGTTTTTTTGACTGGCTTATTTGCTTTCTTTTTGTTGAGTTGTATGAGTTCTTTGTGGATAGTGGATATCAGCTCCTTATTGGATGTATAGTGTGCAAATACTTTCTTCCATTCAGTAGAGTGTCTTCATTTCACTGATAGTTTCTCTTGCTGTGCAGAAGATTTTTATTGTGATGTAGTCCCAATTGTTTATATTCTTTTTTGTTTGTTTTTGTTTGTTATATTCTTTTTTGTTTGCTTTTTTTTGTTACATTCTTTTTTGTTTTTGTTTGTTACATTCTTTTTTGTTTCTTATATTCTTTTTTGTTTCTTGCTATTAGAGACAAGTCCACAAAAACATCCCTGAAGCCTATGTTGTGGAGTGTTTTGCCTGCCCTTTTCTATGTATTTTATGATTTCAGGCTCTTACATCCAAGCATTTTATCCAATTTGAGTTAGTTTGTCTGTATGATATGAGCTAGTAGTGTAGTTTCATTTTTTAATGTGACTGTCTAATTTTCCTAGCACCATTTATTGAAGAAATTTTCCTTTCTATGATGTATATCTTGATTCCTTTGCCACAGATTAATTGTCCATATAAATATGGGTTATTTCTGAGCTTTTAGTTCTATTCCATTGATCTATGTGTCTGTTTTTGTTATAGTACAATACTGTTTTGATTACTATAGCTTTGAGGCCAACATTACCATGATGCTAAAACCAGACAAGGAAATCACAAAAAAAGAAAAAAAAAAAACTACATACCAATTCCCTTGATGAACATAGGTGCCAAATTCCTCATCAAAATCTTAGCAAACTAGGGCTTCCCTGGTGGCACAAGGGGTTAAGATGCAACATATGAAGCTGTCCACAACTGCTGCAGCACGAGTTCAATCCCTGGCCAGGGAGCCACCCACATAACACAGCAGACCTCTCCTGACACCCCCGCTGCTCCCTTCAGCAGTGTATTTCAGTCAGTCTGCCTGTATCTGGTGAATCCTCTCTACCCCCACACCTCTGGCCTGCACTCCAGCTCTTGTACTTATAAATAAATAAATCTTTTTAAAAAATCTTAGCAGGGCCTCCCCTGGTGGCGCAGGCAGTTGAGCACAGCGCTGTGAATCTGTCTGCAGCCTCTTCAGCGCCAGTTTGATCCCAGCCAGCCGGCGAGGGTCCCACATGGTGAAGCAGACCTCTCCTGTCTTGCCCGCTGCTCCCTTCAACAGTATATTTCACCAGTCTGCCTGGTCTGTTCCCCACTCTGTCACTAGTGAATCCTTTCACCCTCCCACACATCTGGCCTGTACCCGGGTTCTTGAATAAATAAATAAATCTTTAAAAAAAATCTTAGCAAACTAAATTCAACAATGCATTAAAAGACTCATACACCATGACCAAGTGGGATATACACCAGGAACACAGGGATGGTTAACATCTGAAAATCAATCAATGTAATTCATCACATCAATAAAAGGAACATTATAAAAATGATATGATCACATCAACGTCATAAAAATGATATGATCATGTCAGTAGATGCTAAAAAAAGTACTTGACAAGATTCAATATCCTTTTATGAGAAAAAATACACAAAAATGCAGACAGGTATAACATACCTCAACATAATAAAGGCCAAAGGTGACAAGCACATAACTAACAACATTCTCAATGGTGAAAATCTGAATGCTTTTCTACTATCATCAGGTACAAAACAAGGATGTCCACTCTCAGAATTACTATTCAACACAGTATTGGAAGTCCTAGTTAAAACAATTATGCAAGGTCAGGACATACATAAAAGGAGCCCAAATTGGGAAGCAAGAATTATCATTATTTGCTGATGACATTCCTATACACATACGAATAAAAGACTCCTTAAAACAAACTAAAACCATAAATTAGTTCAGCAAAGCAGTAGGTTACAAAAGCAATATACAAATATCAATTGAGTTCCTATGTACAAATAACAAGCTAGATGAGAAAGAAATCAAAAACACAATTCAATTAATAGTCACATTAAAATTAATTAAATTTGTAGGTGTAAACAAAGGAGGTGAAAAATATAAGACACTGTTAAAAGAAATAGAAGAAAGCAGAAAGGAGTAAAAAGGTATTTCCTTTGGAAAAATTAACGTTGTTGATATGGTGATCTTAACAATAGCAATATACAGATTCAGTATAACTCCTATCAAAGTTTCAACAGCTTCTTGATCCAGTCATCTATTTTTGGGCATTTGGGTTGTTTCCATAGCTTAGCTATTGTAAGTAGTGCTGCTATAAACATAGGGGTGCAGATGCCTTTTGGAATTACTGTTTATGTGTCACTTGGGTAAATACCTAGGAGTGGAATTGCTGGATCATATGGAAGCTCTATGTTTAGTAGGTCAAGAACTCTCCGCACAGCTCTCCATAGTGGTTTGACCAGTTTGCACTCCCACCAGCAGTGCAGGAGAGTTCCTTTTTCTCTACAACCTCACCAACATTTGTTGTTGCTAGTTTTTTTAATATGTGCCATTGTCTCTGGTTAATTTGGTATCTCATTGTACTTTTGATTTGCATTTCCCTGACTACAAGTGATGTTGAACATTTTTTCATATGCCTGTTGGCCATTTGCATTTCTTCTTCAGAGAAGTTTCTTTTTAGCTCTTCTGCCCACTTTTTGACTGGATTAATATTACTCAGCAATCAAAAAAGATAAACACATGCAGTTTGCAGCAACATGGATGAAGCTAGAAGCGATCATGCTTAGCAAAATAAGTCAGAAAGATAAAGAAAAATACTGGATGGTCTCACTCATAGCAGGAATTTAGAAAACCCAAATAAGAGACCAGGAAAAAGACTATTCAATACAAAGTAAAAATCAAAATCAACAAGCAACAATAAACCAGAGGCACAATATGGGGGTGGAGGGGAGAGGAAAGGAAGGACTAGAGTCAAAATAAGGGTGGGGGGTGCAATTGTAAGGGGAATATAACCATAATGAAAATGCATACATTGTGCAAAGATGAAAAATGATGTAAGAATTATATAAAATAAAATATTTTAAAAAAAGTTTCAACAGCATACTTCAAGGAAATAGAATAAACATTACTGAAATGTATATGGAACCAGAAAAGACCCACAATAAGCAAGCAATCCTGACAAAGAAGAGATATGGTATCATACTGTGACACTTCAAATTATGAAGCAGAAGTTTTAAAGTTAATAAAATTTAATTATCATTTTCCTTCTATTTATTTCAGTTTTGGGGTCATATTGAAGAATTTTTGCCAAGTTTGAAGACACAGAGATTTTGTATGATATCTTCTACAAATGCTTTCATTTTTAGTTTTTATATTTTGATCTTTAATTCATTTGGAGTTAATTTTGTAAACTTCTGGAGTGCAAAGTATAAGTCAAGTTTCATTTATTTTTGCATTTGAATGCTCAATTGTTACAGCAAGTTTTGTTGGAAAGATTATCTTTCCTCAGTGAATTGTCTTTGCAGCCATGTCAACAATCACTTGTCCATACAAACATGGGTCTATTTCTGGACACTCTATTTTGTTCCATTGATCTTTGTGTCTAGTCTGTTCTTTTGTCAAAACCCGCTGTAGCTTTCTAATAAGTTTTGAAATCCTACACAAGACTCCCCCAGTTTTCTTCTTCCTTTCTAAAATTGTTTGGGTTGTTCTCATCCTTTTGCCTCTGATTATTTTTCAGTATCAGTTTGTCAATATCTAAAAATATCTTACAGGGATTTTCTTAGGATTGTATTGAATTTACAGATCAACTTGAACAAATTTAGCCACTTAAAAACACTGAAACTACCAATCCATGAATTGGTTTGTAGTTTTCAATTCATAGGTATTGTGCATATTTTGTTCACTTTATACTTAAATATGTTATATATTTTTTAAAGATTTATTTATTTATTTACACAAGCACTGGGTACATTCAGAAGCTCAGGAGGGTGAGATAATTCACCAGAGACAG